TTTTCGTTTTTGTTTTGTGAAAAAAAAAAGAAAAAAAATATCATGTTTATTTAATTAATTAGAAGAATGTGACCTATATATTTTTTTATGCTTTATTTTATTTTTGGAGGATTTTGGGGTCCACAATTCAAGGTGATATTCTAGAAGAAATTTTTTAATATAACGTAAACACTGCTTGGCATACTAATATAATAATAAAACTAGTTAGAATTTTTTTTTTTTTTTTAAAGTTTCTAATTGAGTGTATCATTACATTTGTTTTCCTAAATCATGTTCATAACATATTAAAAAATCTATGATATTTTAGGATTTCGTTTTGAATCTCTGAATCCCATCATTACAAACTTTGCAAAGGATGGGACCAGGATCCTCTCCTAATCTAAGGATGAGGATCCTCATAACCAAGGGATGTGGGCTGTTGGATGAAAATCCAACGGCTACAAACAGGGGGTTCCTTTAAAATTATAATAATTATAACCGTTAAATTTTCATCCAACGGCCCACATCCTTTGGTCATGAGGATCCTCATCCTTAGATTAGGAAAGGATCTTGATTCCAAAGGATGCTTCTCTCTATTTTGACTTTTGGGAGATCTATGAGTATTCATCATTGTATATGCTTTATGCATGTCCTTATCCTACACCTTTTCCTGCGTCTTGGGTTTCTGAAGTCTCTACAATTTTCTTTGCCCTCCATGGATGATAATGTAGGAAATTCTAGCCATACAATAATCGGATAAGTTCATCTTTCTAGATCCCATGTAGAGTACAAAATGATACTTACCGCTCTACCTGCAATGTGTGTACATTATTGTATGGTAAAAAGAAACCGCTTGATCTGCAATATGTGTATTACATTGTTGTATGATAGAAAGAATAGATAATCTAATATAATGTAGAATCAAATTTACAAGTTGAATCAAAAGAAACCTTTCTAATTGCCCAATTCTATAGTCCAAGACCCAGTAAAATTTTAGGTGTGTACTATCCATACACTCTTTTTTACTTCTCACACACCCCTTGCTAATTTTTGTCATTTGATATTCTTAAATTCATTCGATCCGGTGATCAAAAATTAAAAGGATATGAGAGAAGTCAAAAGGAGTGTGTGGATATCACACCGCAAAACTTTATTTACTATAGTTGGAACTAACCAAAGGGATTTGTTAGTAAAATAGCCTTTGAGATATGAGATAGAAGATGAGAGAGGTTAGCCTACAGCAACTTGAAATGTGAACCTAAGTTGGCAGTATGTGCAGCTGAATTTGGCTCACTCCCATGTGCCCTCTGGAAGCTTGTGAAAAGAATTGTTACAGTTATTATTGCTTAATAAGTTGATGCGCATCTGTTTTAGGTAAAGATAACTATATTGTAGCCAAGGAAAGTGGTACCACCCCTACGTGTATTGACCCTGGTGCTTGTGGTGGAATATTAAAACATAAAATTCCAGTATATAACTTTGATTTTGTCACATTATTACTGCGTTTATTGATTTTTTTTTACTTACAAATAAATGGTCTTAATTTCATTTCATACGGATAACGAGTTCAGCACCGGTTAATCTATCGTTTTTGTTTCTACAGCTCAATAATTTCATTTTGCTCAAAGAAAGTTGCTATAGTAAGTCCATTGCTATAAGAAGTCGACCTGTGACTAATCCTAATGATTCTTTTTTTTTGATGAGTTCACAAATGTTTTGAATCAACCCACGAGGGAGCTCGAGTTACATTAGCTATAACTCTCTTTCTTGTACTTGCTACACTACGTCAATATGTGCTACTTAATAAAATGGAAAATTCAAAGTCAAATGGTTGAGAGGTAAAAGAAATTAAAAAAATCCCACTTAAAGCTGCCCGAAAATTGTCATATGGATAAAGACCGGAGAGGGGCAAAGGCAGGTGTGCAAAGCTACAACACATATCCCTATGTGCAAGCCTTAGTCCTACTCGTCAATTTTGGTCTCTGCATTTCTATTCCTTTTCCACAGCATTTCTCCATGGCCAGTCCCAATCGACCATCATTTGGTTTAGGGGCTCTAGCTTTTTGCCTTTCTTTTCCTCCTTTTTTCCTTGACCTGAGTATCTTTAGGCATCGTTTCCTTAATCTTAGTTGACATTTAGGTCAAGTGAAATGATCGGCCAGCTGAAATTTTCAAGTAATGGAACTTACCAAGACATGTAATTAAAAGGAAATAAGAGAAAGAAAAAGGGGTGTGTGGATATCACACCCCTTCTTAATTTCTGTCTTTTGATTTTTTTTCAATTCATCTGATCCGACGGTCTAAAATTAGAAGAGTGAGTGAGAAGTAAAAAGGGGTGTGGATATCACACCCAAGAAAAAAAGGTACCCAAAAGATCATAATAAGTAAGAAATGGAGAAACTACGGAAACACATCAAGTTGAAATTGGTTTTTCAGATAACAGTAATGCCAAAAATATGAATTCTACAGGAAAATTTAGTTCAATATATGTAAGTGGAAGAAGTTTGGAGTGAGATTGTGACATTTCTTACTTGGGTAGTGCTATCACATACTCATTTTTACCTCTCACATATCCTTTTCGATTTTCATCCATCATATCGAATGAATTAAAGAAGATCAAAGAACAAAAATAAACCAAGAGAGGTAAAAATGATGTGTGAATAGGACCACCCTTCTTACTTTCATGGTCTCACGCGGATTACAATATGAGCATGAAGTAAGATAAATTGTGCTTCTTAATCCGTATATTTGCATGCATATACAGACTAAGGAAAATTGTAATACCCATAATGAGATAGAACATTAATGAAAATATTATTAATGCAGATTATATTGTTTTATCAAACATCTGGTGGTATTACTTTTTACTCGGAAGTGAGAGGTTTTAAGTTCGAACCTCGTGGATGACAAATTTAATTCCAAATTAGGTTACACATTGTGTGTCTTAGTCAAACTCCTCCTTCCCTTAGTTAAAAAATATATTGATGTACTAAAATCAATGAGTGTATTAAAGTATATGTAAGATATGTATCTTATCTTAAAATAAGTGTTTTTTTATTTTTATTTTTATTTTTATTTTATCATTTGCTTAATACATTCTAATTAACCAAGTTCACCATGACATGTTTACTTATAAGGAATGAGAATACAAAGTATATGTTACATTTCATTCCTAACAAATAATTTATTTAATAATACACAAAAAATAAATAGATATTTAGTTTTATACATGTTGAAAATATGTGGTCCATTCTCAGTGTTAACAAGGTGTCATTACCAATGGAACTATGAACATCATCTATCTAAACAACTTAGGTATCATTTCTCAACTACCCTATATTACTCCCATGGACAAAAACAACAGTGTTCATCTCGTGCAATTTTCTCATCTTACTTTCACTCTTAAACTTTATATGAGTTCTTCTAGCTAGATAAAAGATTTTTCACAATCCAATTAAAAGATAGGAAAATTAACGAAAAATCTAAAAAAACACTCTAGCTTTAATAAAAAATGACAAATAAAGGTGTAGTGAATAGTATTAGAAAAATGTAAAAATATAATTCTTCATTAAAAATAAATAGTACTGGAAGTATTTCGTTAAAACCCCCTTAAAAGATATCACGCTCTTTTAAGAGAAAAAAAAAATCCAAAGGAGCAAAGCATTTGCTTTTGTAAAGTACTTGTGATAATTTGCAATAACTTCGATAATGGGGCAGTCGATGTTGCAATGCAGTCCATGACCAAAAAAAAAAAAAATGACGGGTTGGTACTACTTAGTTGGGAAAAGTCGGTTCGACTTTATTTTTATTAGATTGACAAGTAAACAAAAATATTATTTAAGTTACTTAGTACTACAGTTTAATGGTATTTAATACTACAGTTTAATGGTATTCATCTTCACTTATAAATGAGGTCATAGTACAATTCTCGCAAAAGAAGAATTTAAACCACATTATTATTAGCTTATTGTGAGGTTTAGCATACCCCCCCTCCCCCTTAGTGTAGATAATATCATTGTTCAAAAAAAAAAAAAAAAATTATGGCCGTTTATTTTCTGTACTACTGAGTCGTCCAAATTAATGAAAAAAAATTAAAGTCACTAATCTTAACCTAAATATATTAATTGAATTAAGTAAGCTAAAATATTATTTCTGTTGTAGGCATAATTTACTGAACAATTATGGAGGCCATAGAGAGAGAGAAAGGTGCGGCAATAGTAGAGAGAAAAGAAAGATTTGTAATTGTGAGGTATGTCTTATTTCATCTCATTGTGCCTTTATTTATAGTAGTAAGGAAAGTTAATTCTTTACCCTTTACGAGTACTATATTTAATAGGTAATCTACTCCTAATAGGAATATAAGATACATTTCAAGATATACTAGGATTTACATAATCACATTCCTAATCTAATAGAACTGCAACACTTCCCCTTGAGTGTGTAAATACTCAAGTAAATGGCACATCAGGCCTTCAATAATGAAGCAAGTACAGTTGATGAAGTCATCGGCACAATGAGCGAATGCGAGTCTCATATCAACGAAAGAATGCATAAAAAGGTAAAACTCACAAAACCTTGCTATGGTAAAACCCAAGGTGGGAGAAAAATCCATAAACTAAGAAGAAAAGTGAGAAGTTGCATTAAGTCAAAATTATACATCTTTTGGACACAAGTAGAAGAGCTCATAAGGGTATGATCAACCCAAGATGGGTGTCTCGTTAAAACCTAGTTAGGTAGCAAAAACCCAGTGGGAAAAATTCTCCTAATCGTAGGGAAAAAGAATACATTAAGATCAAATGAGTATACTTCTGGATACTCCTCCTGAGTTTGACATAACTTCCAAAATGAGAACTGCAAGCATTGCATATGAATAGTTAGGCATACCAATTCCTCGGACAAGCTTCTGGAAGGTTGACTTCGGTAGTGACGTCGTGTAGAGGTCGATAAGGTTGTCTGGGATCGGCTTGCATGGCTTCAATATCATGATGCTTTGCTGATGTATATGTAGACGCAATATGTCT